TTCTTACCTCTCTCTCTCTCTCTCTGAGTATCAATCCACCTCCTTTAAATTCAACTTCCCCCCCCCTTTTGGGGGGGAGTGAGGCAATCAGGGTTAAGTGACTTGACCAGGGTCACACAGCTAGTAAGTGTCATGTGTCTGAGGCTGGATTTGAACTCAGGTCTTCCAGACTCCAAGGCCAGAGCTCTATCCACAGAGCCACCTAGCTGCCCCAAATTCAACTTTTAAACACAGTTTTTAAATTGTTTTCTTCCAGGATAAAATTTACATAAAGCTTTACATATGTCATCTAATTTGAGCCTTCCAACAATCCTGTGAAGTAGGGGCTAACATTATTCTCATTTTACAGATGAAGAAACAGAGGCAGAGAGGCTAGGCAACTCGCTAGGGGTCACACAGCTAGTAAGTGACTGAGACAAGATTAAAATGCAGGTGTTTTTGATTCTAAATCCTCTGTTTCTAAAAGACACTCTCAATGGCTCTGCTAGAAATAAAGAAGATCCTTGCAATCTTATTCCACATCTGTTCTCCCTAAAGACCACGTTATACTGTTATACTGAATGGGTGAATATGTGCAGGGGTCCCTCTAAGTTTGAAGTGGTTTATTTTAGTACCTATTTTTCACAAGATGAGAGCTCCTTCATCCTCCATATCCAATCGGTTACTTAGTCTTGCTAATTCCACTTTCACACCATCTCTAATCTCTTCTTCCACAACTGCCTCTGCATTCATCACCCTCCCAGCTGGACCACTGTAATAGTCTCCTGATTGGTTCTCGTGATTCCATTCTTTCTCCCCTCTTCTAACCAGCCTCCATATTTCTAAAGTCCAGGTCTAACCATGTGACTTCCTTGCTCAGGAAGCTTCCATGGCTTTTCTTGTCTTAAGAATAAATACAATCTCCTCCTCTGTCATTGAAATGCCTTCACATTTCTCTCCAGCCTGTTTCCGGACTTACTTCATTTTACACTCTCTCCTAGACTCTACCTTCCTTCCAAACTGTTCTGCTTATTGTTACCCATCTACAAACATTCTATCGCTTGTCCTGGGTCTTTACATGGGCTCAACCTCAGGCTTCTCGTCCTCATTGTTGCCTGTTGGCATCATTTCAAGGGTCAGCTCTAGTGTCAAAGCCATCTCCTACAGAATGGCCTTTTGTGATCCCTCCAGCTATTAATATTCCCACTGAAATTACTTTCTTCCACCCCACAGTGAACTTAGTAATGACTTCTCAAAGAAAGAAAGAACATTGAGGCCTTGCTGTTCTGGAGTTATAAGTTGTCTTGGGCACCTGTGTTCTCTAGGTGTGCCTCGCTATCATTGCATACTATCTACTCTTATCCCCCTTCCCAACCACCTGTGTGTATTTGTGGGCATATACCTCAGTTTTTGGGGGGAAATGCTTTGTAACTACTATTCTTGTTATGCCATTTACATAAATACCTCTTTTTTTTTTTTGAGGCAGTGGGGTTAAGTGACTTGCCCAGGGTCACACATCTAATAAGTGTCTGAGGCCGGATTTGGACTCAGGTCTTCCTGACTGCTACCTAGCTACCCCTCATAAATGCCTTTCTAAAAGCTGATTGTTATGGATAAGATCTGTCTGAGATGAAGAACTAAAGTGTTAAAAGGATAGCCACCCATAGGGTTACCATCTAGAATTTGAGTTAGCACTGTTTCTCTGAGGTCACAACTTACCAGTGCAAGTTGGAGGAGTGAGCTCAGAAGGGATGCTGCATTGGCATTTACTTATCTTTGTACCCATCTATTTCTCTTTGCCAGAAGAATGTAAGCTCACTGTGGGAAGGGATAATTCTTCTTTTTTTTTTTAATTAAATTGAACATATTTTGTGTGGGAGACTGACACATTGACCATGTACTTGGTAAGGGACAGGATTGAATTTCTTCTTTATCATTTTTATTATTTTTATTAAAGTAACAAGGGTCTGGCCAATGAGCCCAGTCCCTACAAGCATGTGCAGTGCTGCTGATGCAAATACCCCGAGATTTGGGAGCCTGCTTCTGAGAGAGTCCTGATGATGGTAATGGAGAGACTTTGGAGCATTCATAGACATTCCATGACTGGGTCTGGTCTGCTAACTGTGTGTTATTGATAAGTAGCCTCTCTGATTGGCTTCAGCTGCAGAGCTGGAACAGAGGACAGAGGCATTCAAAAAGGCCCTCTTTCTCCCTAGGCTCACTTCTTTCTTACCCAACGACATCTGGTAAGAGACAATGCTGATGGGGCAGCTAGGTGGTACAGTGGATAGAGCACCGGGCTTGGAGTCAGGAGGACCTGAGTTCAAATCCCACCTCAGACCAGACACTTGACACTTACTAGCTGTGTGACCCTGGGTAAGTCACTTAACCCCAATTGCCTCACCAAAAACAAACAAACAAAAAGAGACAATGCTGAAAGGACAGAGCCTTCAGGCCTTCTCCTTGTCTCAAGCCAACATGTGGCTCTAGGAAAGATAGATAAAGCATTTAAGTGTTTACTATGTGCCAGGCACTGTGCTAAGCACAGGAAGTACAAATACTAGCAAAAAATAATAAGAGAATCCCTGCCTTTGTGAACCTTACATCCTAATGGGGGAAGACAGCACATAAAAGGAAGTTGAAAAGGGGGGTGAGGGAGGAGAGGAGAGGAACCAGAAGGAATCCAAGGAGTCGTGGGCTGAACCACGTTTGGAGTAAACACAGCTGATGTGGGTGCTTCTCAAATATAGGTTCGGGAAGGAACTCACCACCAGAGGAAAAGACTGTAGAGATGGAGATGTGGCCAGCATGAAGATAGCCACTAGAGTAAAGGTCCAGAAACAGTGTGGGGAGTGATGGCCTTGTGAAGGGAATTATGATTTTTATAAAAATCAATATGATATGGGTAATGAATATACTAATAGATTAGATTTTTTGGAATCGTCTCTCTTGTGGGAGAGCTCACGATGCAGCTTAAAATGATAAATTGGACTTTGACAAGGCTCACAATCACTGGCATCCTTGTGCCTGCATACCTGAAGGGAAGCAAATCAAAGATTGTAGATCCTGTTCCCATCACAGAACTCTAGTCCTGTGACCCACCAAGTAATGACCCCCTCAAGGGCTTGAGCAATATTGCTCCCACAAGACTCTAGAATTGTTGTATTGTCTTCCATTTGTGGGTTTGTTGTTGGAAACTACTGAAGCCTAGGAAAATCACTGTTTGTAATCCACCTTCCCCCCTTCCTACTTGTGATTTATGTGTATAATCTCTGTTTTCACTTCAGCAAAGTGGAATTAGTTTTTTTTAAGGCAATTGGGGTTAAGTGACTTGCCCAGGGTCACACAGCTAGTAAGTGTCAAGTGTTTGGTCTGAGGCTGGATTTGAACTCAGGACCTCCTGACTTCAAAGCCAGTGTTCTATCCACTGCACAGCCTAGCTGCCCCAGCAAAGTGGAATTCTGATCAGGAGAATTCCCGATCTGCAAGTCTGTTCCTCATAATGAAACTAATTAATTAAACTGCAACCTGATTACAGGCTCTTTGTCTCTGGCCTGCTGTTTCTTCATTCTTAAGTTAGAGACTGGCTCAGTAAAATCTTGTTAACAGCCTGAACCACGTTTTGGAGTAATCAAAACAGGAGTTTGAGAGTAAGTGAAAACAAGGTTGAATTTGTTGCCTGCATTACTGTTTGTTCTTTAATTTTTGGTGAAGGAAATTGGAGACTATGACCTTATCGATATCAAAAGGTCAGGAGACCCTTTGGAGTGCAGGAATCTGGGGCTCTAGGAATCTTTGATAAGTCCATGTGGGGTTTTATAACCAGCCTATTGATGACCTGAAAATGAGAGGAACTCATCCAGAATCTCTGCCATATTTGGACATTAACTTGGTGGGACCAATAGTATATAGAACTGGTGTTAAACTTAAGTCTACTCTCTCCAGAGACTGAGACATTATGGGGTAGGATATGCCTCCAAGGTGTTGGAGGGAAATGTTTGTACTTCTGTTCTTGCTGTATTTTCCATGTAAATATCCTTTTGTAAAAGCTAATTGATATTAGATTGGTTAAGTAGAATTGGAGCACTAGTCAGAGGTGATAGGGGCACTTAGCACAGTGCCTGGTATAGAAATGTTTAATAAAGATGCTGATTGGCTGACTGGGGTGGGGGGGAACACACTGAGAATGGGGGCTTGAGCTGACAGCAGTAGAGAAGATACCTTCAGCCCTTCAGGGGTACCCTTAGAGCCTTGAAGGACAGATGCAGCCTGTCGTGCTCTGGGAGAGTGGGCCCAGAGCACATTTACCATAGGAATATTACTCAATGATTGTAGAGTGTTTTCCAGTGTGGTTTCAAGTTTATTATCTGACTTGATCCTCAACAATCCCATGAGGTAGAGAAGGCAGAGATTATTACCCCCCGTCTACACAGGAGGAAACTGAGGCTCATCAAGGTTTAATGAGGTGAGACAAAGCAAGTTCTCCTGACATCTAATCCCCAGTTCTTTCCACTATATAACCTCTACCTTATATGGACTTTCTTTCCTTCAGTGTTCTCTGTCTGTCTCTCTGTCTCTCTTTTTGTAATTGTAGAACTGCTGGATTTCATCGCCTCAGAGTTATGTGGAATGTGTGGAATGTCCCTCCTTATCTACCGCAACCTGGAGAAGACCCTGGCACTTCCACATGAGGGTTTGAGAAATCTCCCCACTGACTGGGCTTCGGAGGATCTTTGAGACCTGCGAACTCTCGGAGCAGGTCGGAGAAACTCGTTTTGACTTTTCTATCCAGTGCTTCCACAGCCAGCTAGCCCCAAGGTTAACGGGGGAGGAAAGCACTGCTACCTAGACCTCTGGGGGGAGCACTAAGCCTTTTGAACCCGAGGAAAGGAAGAAAGAGCAGACTGCTAGGGAGGCTGCCCACAGCTCTCACCTACCCCGGGGCAAGAGGGCGGCGAGGGGAAAAAGAGAGAGGGAGGAGAAGGAGGAGCCAGCAGTGGGCCGGGCTGGGGGTAGGGAGACAAAGTGAAACTCCTGAAAGTTGCTCAAAGCGTGGAAGGCCTGGCCCAGGGAGGGGAATTTGGCGGTTTTCCCCTACAGCTCTCTGCCTTCTGAGTCCCGGGCCAGCTGGGCTGCAGCCAGCGGCTTCCTCCTAGGGGAACAAGCGGGGGCAGTTCCCCAGACTGGACAGTGCGGGGGCTCCGATCCTGGCGCTCGGGCCGGGTGGCTGGAAGCTCCCGGTGAGGCTGGAGGAGTTCGGGAGACTGGAGCGCTCCTCTCCTGCCTCCTACCCGGTGTCTCGCGGCCCCCTCCTCGCCTGTGAGTAGAGCTCCGCATGGCTCTGAGCAAAGGACTGCGGCTGCTGCGGAGGCTGGAGTCCCCAGGGGACAGCAGCATCCTGCTGGAGGCCCGCAGCCGCCAGGACTGTCTCCTCTTCGAGGCCGGCACCGTGGCCACGCTCAGTAAGTGCTCTTCTTCCTTCCCTGGGCTCTCGGGCTGTGGCGCGCCGAGCGGCTCACGGGACCTGCCCTATCCGGGATGGCTCATGTCCTGGGAGACCCGGGGGTGCGCACGGTCAGCGCCTCTGGTGGAGGGAGGAGCTGGGGGAACGAGAGGCACAGCAGCGGAGCCCCGAAAAGCTCTTCCCGGGGCTGAAAGCGCCTGCTTCGGGGCTGCATCCTGGGGCTGGTCGGCCAGTGTCTGGGGTCCGGGACAGTATGGCCCTCCTCCCCATTTGCCTCCCGTGGCTTTCTCTGAGATGACTGTGCTCGGTGCCAAGCGTAGCCTAGTGTGGGACTGACACTCTAGGAATAGACTTCTCTTTAAAAATCTCAGAATGGATGGTGGGTGAGTGGGAGGGGGTTTGGGATGGTAATGTGGGTTCAAGCGCCCTTCCAAGTGGCTTTAGAGTCCCTCGGGTTAGACCTTCCCTAAAGTGACTTTTCTCCAAGCTTCTGGGTTTGGTTTTTGCCTGCTGGGCTAGAGGGAGCCTCTAAGAATTACAGGATAGGAAGGCGGGAGTAGGAGGTGGGGGGCACCGCCCGCGCCCCAGAAAGCAATTCTTAACCGGGCGCGAGCCTTTTGTGTCTTACTTTAGAAATATTAATTATGATCGGAAAGATTTGGCCTCTATAGAGTTTGAGCAGCTATGCCAACTCTATGTGTGTGTATATCTTTCTTCCCTACACCTGTTTTTGGAATAAATGATTACAGTAGCTGTGAGCCGCTTGGGTAATAGGTACATTATGGAAGGCTTGCTACTCCAGGTCGACAAATCCATGGTGAAGAAAACTCAACACACCTGACTACAGAATTTGGCTGGAAGGACTAGCACGAGATCCTTGCCAGTGTAGTCGGGTACGCTTCTGGGTTCTTGATGGCAGCGAACTTGACCTTGATCTCCAAATACTGTGATAAGTGTAATGCCATTCAGATAACACCACCAGGGTTGCATTTACCACTAGCATCTACGTGAAGGATTCAGGCAGTACTTCCAAGTGTTCTAAATCAGTCAGGATTGTGGAAGTTTTTGAAAACTTATTATTTTTTTTTCCAAGTGTAGATGAAAGTCAGAGACTGGACTTTAAAAGTTTGCTGAATTTGTGAGCTTGTGTATATATGACTGGCTAAATAATGAGTGGAGAGAGGGTGCCATTTTTCCTATACTCTCTTGGAATTTGTGTGGCATGCTAATTTCATTTGCATGCATTGGTAGGTGGTTGTGTAAACATTCTTAGTTTATAAACATTTTCATACATTTTTGAGCTATTTGTCCAGCTAAATTGTAAACTTTGTAAAGGTACCATTTCTTTAGTTACTCTTCCTCTCCAAAAATGTAATTAAAAATGCAGTAGTCTTTTTTTGTTGTTGTTTTGAGGTTGTTGTTTTTTTGTATGCACAAGTTTTTGTTTCCTTTATTCTCTGAATTTAACATATGCAATTGGTTCACCTCTATGAAATACAAGCTCCTTAAGGGCAGGGACTGTTTTTTCTGCTGTTGATTTTAATCTTCCTGTTGCCCAGGACAATGCTTTTCTCATGGCAGGTGCTTGTCAAATTGAGAAATAAATGTAAAGATCTCAAGTCAGGTTCTCCATCTCTCAGTTCTAAGCTGATACCTCCATGTTCCTCTATGAAAGCCCAAATTTGGCTATTAAGATACAGAGGCAAACATTATCAACCACTTAAGATTTCATTACCTCAAAAGTGAAGAGTTTGGGGATGAATTGAAGAAATAGAAGGCATATTTTTCATTAGGAAATTAACTTGGTAATTATGCCTTCCAAAGTGTTTTTACATCAGTAAGTCAGATACCAGAATATTTGTCATATCAGTCATATGTTTTTGTTTTCTTTTCTTTTTTTTTTGGTCTTCCAAATTTGCCACTTAACCTAGCATTGTTTGGTTTTGTTTTTCTCTGGAAATCTTGGGCTGAAAACTTATGGTGAATTTTTATCTTTTTTTTTTTCTTAAACTAAATTGAATTAAGCTGTTTTAAGAAACTCAGTAGTATTTAATTGGTAATACTGGCTCCAAAAAGATCATTTCTTCATACTTCCCTGCTAAGGGTAGGAACATTCTTTTCCTAGGGAAATTGTCTGTTTAATCCTTTAAAAAAAAATAAAGTACAGATTGATTAGACACAACGTTTGAAAAAATGATTTCTTCCCACTAAAAGTGTACATATAGCTTATGCGTTGAGAGTTTTCTGAGTTTTCCTCTCTGAGCAAAGCTAGAATGACCTCATTTTTATTTTTTAATTTTCTTAAATGAATGAAACTCTTTTTCTCTGTCACCTCCCCATAGGGGGAGAAATAAAGGACAAAACCCTTGCAGTGATATGCATACTCAAACAAAATTAGAATGCCCTCATTTCAAAAAAACCAAACATTGAAGTAGAAGATTGTGCTGGAAGAATCTACTTGCCACCACCTTTGGGTACTTTTCAGGTTTCAGAGCAATGTCTTTTTCAGATTCAGCTGGCAGGGGCTTTGGGGCATCTCTGTTTTGTTTTTCTGTGCTCGTTGTCCCTGGTGGTTTGTAGCTGGTTAGTTCAGTTTTAGTACAGGACTAATGAAGCCACTGGTATTGATTGGATTCCCCCAAGTGAGCTCATTTCTCTCTTCTGTGGCCACAGTGTACTCCTACTCCTGACTAGCTATCTTGCAAATACAGACTGTTGGTTATATGGGAGACCAGGTGAGGGTTGAATGAATCATCTTAAATCCATCTAATCTCATTGAAGGACTGGTTTCGATCCCTGGCCCTCCCAGACAGCGAATTAGTAAGTAATTTTTGGCTTTATGAAGGACCAGGCAGCACAATGAAAAGACAATATTGTTTAGTGCAGAAAACTGTGAATTTGGAATCAAAAGATCTGAGTTTGAATATTTGCTCTTGTCACTTACCATGGGATGATTCATTGCACTTTTTTGCCTTATCTATATTAGGGGGATTGGACTAAATGATCTTTCTTCTTTCTTTAACATTATAAGATTCTATCATCTCAAGGGCATTTTCCAAAGGTTTTTCAGCCAGGGTTCAGACATGATCAGGGACTTGACCTGACTTGTGGTTTTAAGAAGCTATTCTTAGCTTCTTAAGATAAGATGGTCAGTCCCTCCTGTTACTACTTGAGAAATCTGTAAAGAGATATTTGCCATGGGTCACTTAGCCAACTAGCAGAGCTTGATTGTTAAATGAAAGGTGCTCTAAATTCCTTCTTTTAAAAGTTAGGGCCAAAAGCAAAGCCTTTTATGTAGAAAGAAGCAGCAGATGCCCCAAATACAGAAGTGGCAGATAGAATGTAGAGAGAGGCAGTGGTGCATTTAAAATCGGAGGACCTTCTTCTAAGGTCCAGTTCTGTCATAGTACTTGTGTGAACTTGGGGTAAGTCACAGCTCTCTGGGACTCAGTTTCTTCATCTGTAAATGAAGAGATTGGATTAGATGACCTTCAAGATACATTCCAGCACTAATTCTGGGAACCTATGCTAAATGTGAAGATCTGGGTTCAAATCCTGACTCTGATAATTACTAGTTGTGTGATCGTGGACAATCACTTAACATCTGTAAGCATCTGTTTTCTCAGCTGTATGACTGAGATTAATAATAACTGTAAGACCCACATCAGAGGGGTAGACAAAAGTCTTACTGCTATTTGCTTAAAATGGCAGTAAGACTTTTGGCTCTCGCCTCCCTCTCTGCCCTCTCCCTCCTCTCTACCCTCTCCCCACCTCTCTTCCCTCTCTCATCTCTTCCCTCTTCCCCCTCTCCCCATCTTTTTCTGTGTGTGTGTGTGTGTATATATACACACACACACACACACACACATATACACATACACATACACATACATAAATAGTTGTTGGCTACATAAATAGTTGTTGAATTCAGGAACTCTTTAAGAAATTTTTTTCTTAGTAAATTGGCAATATAAATGAGTGAAAAACCACATCTGGTGACTCACTTTCCCCAAATAGGTGATCTATGAATAACATGTAGATTTTTTTATTTCTATGTGGTAGAGTTGGGGCAGGGAATACCCACACACTTTTTTAAAATCACAGTATGAGCTGGAGGGGAAAAGCTGCTCAGGGTGCATCTATTTCTCTGCAGCCCTTTGAATTGGTTAGGTTAGGGTAATGTGCCTAATTGACCTTGGGCTGCAAAGCCCAAGGGGGCAGACTTTGGGACTGATTTGTTTAGGACTGTCACCTCTGGAAGAGCCACCTCAGGATTTATCAGTCATAGAGCACAAAATCCTGGTAGCAACTTTCCCTGAAACTCATTCCCTCCCTCCTCTTTTCTCCAAGTCTGTGAGGGAGTGTTTGTGCCTCCTAGATTTGGTATTAAATCTGTCCACAGGGCTTGGGCTGTTTAGTTAGGTTAATGAGAGAATGTCCCCAAATCACTTTTGAGCTTCTGGGAAGAAAGGTTCTGGGTAAACATGCAGGATGCCTTTTTAAAAAAAAATCATTCTGCTCTGTTTGGACTGAGGCTACAAAGGCGGGCTTCATTTGAATGAACAAAATGGTTATAAAGCAGGAAGGGTAAAGGCTTTGTCTGGTGTGTGGCTATTGCCACCTTCGCAGAGTTTATGACCCAGTATTATTTGGTCACGTTGGTGCCTTGAAGTTTGTCCTACTGGAGCTTCCCAGTGTATCATTTTGGTCAGGTTCCTGTTACAAAGATTGGAAAATAAAGTGAACAGGGTGGGACAGACCTATTTCAGTCCCAGGAGAAACTGAATTGTAGCCACAGGGAGATCTGCCTCTTTTCTTTGAGCATTCACTTTACAACCTCTGTGCTTTACCTTTTCCCTAGTATCAGAGTCACCCCCTGCACCCCCTCAAGGCAATCAATTCCTGTGGCTCCCTATTGCCCCAGACTGAAATATAAAATCCCACGACGGTTAAAGCCCTTGGTAACCTGGTCCCTTCCTACCTTTCTGGTCTTCTTAC